ATACCCAAGTGTATCGGGCACTGGGAGTCGTCTTGACGCATTGCCTTACGTACGTGAGATCTTTCGGCCGGCTACTCATTCTTGAGGTGTGCACAGTGCTCTTAACCGGTACAAAAGTTCTCGGTTCACTAACTTTACCACATTCTTAAGTTAAAACACATCAGTTGCCTGATCATGTCCTCCCCGTATACTTGCTTAGTGCAATGTTTTCGGACACTTACATTGTTCAATGACTACCAAACAGACACAGCTAGTAGCATAGCATAATCGATTAGCGGAATGGACCTGAATGTTCGGTTTAGCTAGCGCATTCCAGTGCTGTGATTTGGTTTCCATGATCGACCACATCAATGTATATTTATCTTATTCGAAATGATGCAGTGGGAAATGGCTGCCTATATTTGTGAACACGAACTGGTTCAACTAAACGACAATCTCCACACCAAACGATCAAAGTTCCTTATTTCGTTCATATTTTTCTAAGAATCTTGCATTCTTGTTTCCATAACGACAGTGAATCACAACGAAACAATTTACCACTTTTCTGCGAGTTATCTGAGCTTAACTGCATGTCATGAGTGCAGAGAGGTTTGTAAACAATCGGTTTTGTATACTAGTTTGGTAACGTTTCGCCTCTAACATAAAGGCTTCGTCAGACCAGGTGAATCCGTGTGCAATTGGTGTGGGATTTTATAGCGAACAGGGGCGATAACCGCTTTACCCGAGTCTTGAGCCATGAGTCATTACAGGAACAGTTCGGGATGTCACCTCAGGTGGTTCGATCACAGTGGGAATAGTCCAGGTGTTCCTTTGTGCGTCATGACATTGACGGATAAGCCCGTAGTGTTGGCATTGGGAGTCGGTTTGCACTTTTCAATCTGATCCACGCATCGATGCTCGTCAAGCTGATCGGATTAAGACCGCCCGCCACGCATTTGGGATTTCTACCCCCTCCATTCTATTCACGCAGTCGTCAGATTTGGCAATTTCCACTGCCTCGGCAATCAACCGCTGAGTGGTTGATCGGATACCCTTCCTAATGACCTCTACGTTTTCGAGGTCTATCTGGTGACCCGTGTCTAATGCATGCACAGCTACGGCCGAGTCTCTTATTATTGCCTGATATTCAAACTCGTTTCTCGGTAGTCTTGCAATGCGTCTCCTATGCTCAGAAATTCGTGTGCGCAATTCTCTCGCTGTTTGGCCTATGTACACATGTGCACCGTCCTTACATTTAATTTTATAAACACAGTTGGTCGTCCTATCCTTGGGAGGTTGGTAACTATTTAAGAACCGTGAAGGATGATTTAGGGGTAGGCAAGTGGTACAGTCTATACCCAAAATCGACTTTACCTCCGAGGATTTATGGCTTGCCAAAAGTTCACAAACCCGAAGTTCCCGTACGGCCCATAGTCGACAGTATAGGCTGTCCAACCCATGAACTTGCGAGACATTTGGCAAGGCTATTGCAGCCTCTAACAGGGCGAACGAGTACATTCGTGAAAAACTCTTATGATTTCGCTCAAAAGATAGCAAATCTCCAAATTGAGTCAGATGAGTTAATTGTCAGCTTTGATGTCACATCACTTTTCACAAATGTGCCTAAAGAGGAGGCGCTAGGAATAGCGAGACGTCGTCTAAATAAAGATGTCACTCTGAATGATCGGACGAAACTAACAGTTAGCCAGATAATCGAGGGTATGACAGTGTGTCTTAACATGTCTTACTTCGTTTTTCAGTCGAAGCTTTACAGTCAGGAACAAGGTCTCGCCATGGGATCGCCAATATCCCCGGTACTGGCGAACCTGTATATGGAAGAATTCGAGAACAGGGCGTTAACAAACAACATTAACTCACCCAAAGTTTGGTGGCGTTATGTAGACGACACCTTTGTACTTGTAAAACGGGATAAGAAGGACGAGTTACTTGATCACTTAAACTTCATTGATGAGAGAATACAGTTTACAATTGAGTTAGAATCTTGTAGCGGCACAATACCGTTTCTTGACTGCCTGGTTCACAGGAATGGGGGAAATTTAAAGACGACAATATATCGCAAGCCAACGGATACTGATGGCGTACTTCACTACACCTCGGGTCTTCCGAAACAGGTTTACGCTGGGATAGCCTCAGCGCTTTTCTACAGGGCACAAACCTTGTGCACAATGGAGGAGGACAAAAAAGCTGCGCGGAAAGTGGCAATGGGCAAACTATTAGAAAGTGGTTACCCAAGACGGCTAGTTAAACGCCAATTACATAAAGTGCTACACCGGCAGTCAAGACCCCCAGCCGAGTGGATAGGGACGGTCGGAATTCCGTACAAGGAAGGCACTTCGGAGGCAATTCGGAGGGTATTAAACAAGGAAAATATAAGGGTGATCTTTCACCGAGGTCGAACGTTACGTTCGGCGCTGGTACACCTGAAGGACCCGCTTCCCAAGGATAGGACGACCAACTGTGTTTATAAAATTAAATGTAAGGACGGTGCACATGTGTACATAGGCCAAACAGCGAGAGAATTGCGCACACGAATTTCTGAGCATAGGAGACGCATTGCAAGACTACCGAGAAACGAGTTTGAATATCAGGCAATAATAAGAGACTCGGCCGTAGCTGTGCATGCATTAGACACGGGTCACCAGATAGACCTCGAAAACGTAGAGGTCATTAGGAAGGGTATCCGATCAACCACTCAGCGGTTGATTGCCGAGGCAGTGGAAATTGCCAAATCTGACGACTGCGTGAATAGAATGGAGGGGGTAGAAATCCCTAATGCGTGGCGGGCGGTCTTAATCCGATCAGCTTGACGAGCATCGATGCGTGGATCAGATTGAAAAGTGCAAACCGACTCCCAATGCCAACACTACGGGCTTATCCGTCAATGTCATGACGCACAAAGGAACACCTGGACTATTCCCACTGTGATCGAACCACCTGAGGTGACATCCCGAACTGTTCCTGTAATGACTCATGGCTCAAGACTCGGGTAAAGCGATTATCGCCCCTGTTCGCTATAAAATCCCACACCAATTGCACACGGATTCACCTGGTCTGACGAAGCCTTTATGTTAGAGGCGAAACGTTACCAAACTAGTATACAAAACCGATTGTTTACAAACCTCTCTGAACTCATGACTACTCGATCGGTTCCAAGTATCTTCCAAGAATTTTTAACTGCATGTCGATTGTGTCAATCGAACCTGAAAAGAGGTCTTTTCCGGGATCCAGTTCATTATTGTCCTAGACGTCTTTAAGTCAGAAATAAAAGCTTGTTCGTTTGCTGGCAGTCGGTCCGGAGGTGCCTGTATGACAAAGGAGCAAGCCAACGCCATATGGACGTACTGTCGTCATCCGTCCACATCTGAGGCTTTTGGTTGAAAAGTATCGGCTTACGAGGCAGTCACATGGAGGAGTGAGCAATGCTTCGCTTTCTATTTGCTTAACTCAAACGTCGCGTCAACGGACGCGACGCGCAATTCGCTTGATTCACCCTTGCTTTATGAAGCGTCTTCACTTGTCCTTCACATGGCCATAACTCGTAACGGAGTGCTTGCGTTTTATTGTAAGTGAACGCCTTTGAAGTAGAGGAAGTGCTTGGTAATGACCGACGAATCGCCGGTTTAATCAGTCATTAACACATCATTTTAAACGGGTTATGTGCAACCGTACTGATGACAGACGATCACCGATATTCCCGTTTTCCAACTAAACCACCTGACAATTTCGCGTTCCGTCCATTCCCAATGGCTTCAAAAAAATTATTTTTCTCTGGTTCATCACATTGCGAACGAATTGAATGAACGAAGCAGTAGATAAAAGTACAATTTCAATCTCCTAGATATTCTGGATGACGATGCTGAGTGTTTGGCCCAAAAGTGTTTAGGGACGTGTAGATAGCGTGGTCCACGTCGTGATGGAAGCCAGAGTAGATTGGGTGCTTGGACAAAATTCTTTTGTGCGCATAGAGCCGGATGGCGATCATGGCGGTTGCTGCCGATAGGCAACATCTAATCGTGGTATGAGTCATAACAACTGGATGCACCGCATGGATCATAACTAATGAATCGAAGTAATCACGATCCCAGTCCTCGGAAACAGTCACAATATGTGCGAAAATGTGATATGGAAGCAAAAGTTGGTAGCTCAGATTGTTCAGTTGGCGGTCTGTGATCGCTGAGCTTGGCAGTTTAGCTGCAAACGTTTCGTCTCCACTTGAGTTGACATCGTCAGTGCGCGTTTAGCTAGCAGAGCGGCGCAGTAGCCCCTATACTTCTGCGCAGTGACCCACTAAGTGTCGAATAAATGCAACCTTGATTTCCTCTCAGAAATTAGTAGGTGGACCACGACATTAGCCACATCCACAGTATCGCTTTCTAACTTATTTCATAGATTCCATTTCCAACGAAGCGTGTATTGTCGCTTACATGATTCCCCTTACTTTCACGAACACACAATATGGTATACCTTCGTCGCATAGCTCGTCCAGCTCTTGTCTGTTCTCTGATTGTTCTGTTCGACGCACCTGTTTCTTTGCTCTTATTGACGACCGAGGAACTATCGCCGGTTAACAGAAGACCTTGCATGTTAATTGTAAAAGTAATTGGCCGTTTGGCCCCCTTATTTTTAGTATCTCCAAGTTATCACCATTGAGCCATTACTACCCTGAAATCAGTCTTATCACTGGGTGCCAAATCACCGGTGCCTTTTCAACACAGCCTGGTGACTGCATGGCAAGCTTATTTGCGGCGACGAACCGCCATCATCATCATTTGACTTCCTTCATTGTGTCACGGTCACCGTCTGTTACCATTTCTATATGCCGTTAAGCTAAACATTTAGGCCTTATCCACTTCTACCTTCCTTGACCCTCTAAGGACACGTGTCACTTCGCTGGTGATCCTTCCCAACCCATTCGCGCACGAAGCTCCGCGCACTTTTAACCAGTGCTCGTTACCCTCTGAATTGCTGTCTCCAGTCATCCATATGGTTATCTCTTTCAGGACTGGGCATCCACATCCATTGATGAATTTAAAAGTGTTATCGGAGCTGGAACGTCACGCTCACTCCTTGGCTGTACAATTAGACCGGCTGCTGACCTCCACTCAATCGAGTTTGGATCAGGTAAGCCCATGGATTCACCACTTTCTGCTTGTGTTTAAATTTTAAGGCATTCGCTTTAGTCTTAGACTTCTGTGGTGTTTGTTCGAGGTTTGATTAGCTGGCAGTCTTCCATGTTATTAAATCGTGTTTGAGGTTTCCGTTCCGTTCAGTTGGGTTCAGTTAAATTGGCTTTCAGCACCGAAGCGCGATGAATCCAGCTGTCATGAATTCCATCGTCAATATAATAATGGGAAAACGGGACAGAACCCGAAATAGATCACATATAAAGGTGCAGAAGAGGCAATTTGTGTCTAGTCAGGCAAATACAGCACGTAACCTCTGTATGAGCCGTGCGATCGAACATTCTTGTGTTACCACAAAAGTATCAGAGCAAAGCGAAACAATCAAGCAGATACAAGAACGCATCGCCGGTCTAGTGAATGCGACATGGGCAAATCGATAACAAGAATACATCGACTTAGCTCGGAAAATACGATGGAGATACAAGAAGACATTATTACCGAAACTGAGCCATATCGGATAGGATTTTCGACCACTAATGTGGCCGTTTCTGAGGCTTCCATTTAATGAAGATGGCACGTATCGTCACAACTGATTTTCTAAATAACCCTCTTCATGCCTCTGTTTTGTTGCCTGCTGATCAGTCAGCGGTTTCATCGAAATATATGCAAGACCGGGAAGTAACACGGGCTTTGAAAGACGATCATCGGGTTTGCGAAGGATGTGCTCTGTCCAACACGTACAGCATTATACAATCATCATTATACAATAGACAGGCCCGTGCATCACCAATGGGCCTCTTTCCATGAGTCGGGCTTCGGTTCAGTTCACCCGGTCTTCCCACCAGATGTCAATAACACACCGCAAGCATCGATGCTTGAGCTCGCATGGGTTTGGTCACCATTGCAACCTCAATCCGGTTGTCAATCCCTTGCGATTGTATGGCAACGAAGTATCGGCACGTACCGAGGAACTCTCAAAGAGGTCTGAGCTGCAATTAAAAAGCTGCGGCTTTTGAGTACGAGCGCCATTTATAGTCTACACAACCTTGAATCCTTATATGGGTTCATCGTTCTACGATCGCTGTTCGTTTGTTGCCACTCCATTCAATCCCGTCGCGACGAAACCGGACCTTAACGTGCGGTGTGATGGTTTGTGTGCCTCAGCGATCCATTGGACTGCTGAGTGGTGCTTTTGCACCTTCAGCGCCACTTATACTAGATTGGCCAATGGCTAGAGTCCTGACAAACTCACTCTCCTGGCCCTCCAGGTTGGGGGTTGGAGTGAGAGTGACTCCTTACTCCAGAGAACACGCTCTGTGTAGTCCAGTGCCAAAACCCCGCTGCCTAGCATTCAGGTTTTTGAACCAAAAGATTTAGTTGAGAACCTTAATTGTTATCCTATCTATGCCTGGGTAACCTTTTGGGACTCCTTACTCAGGAAAGGTGTGCCATAGAAATATGTAAACATTATCCGAGCGCTATACGCGCGTAGCTCGGACAGAGTAAGAGTTTGCGGCAACCTGTCGCCGCCCTTCAATATCTCCAGCGGTGTGAGACAAGTTTGCCCGCTGTCACCTTTCCTCTTTAACTTCGTCATTCACGAAGTCATGGAAACGACGTTCACCGGGCACGACTTGGAAGGTGTGGAGCTGCTTCCTGGTGAACGAATTTTCGACTTAAAGTATGTTGACGACATTGCGCTCCCCGAAAGTGCCAAGTTGCAGTGGATAAATTAGCTCTGGCTATCTGTCTTTTTGGGTTATGCTTTGGACCATCGAAATGCAAAGTTCTCCAAGATTGGCAGGGATCCACTTCTGCATTGACCCTTGACGGTGATAATTTAGAAGTCGTCGAGAATTTCAAGTATCTGGGCAGTTATATCAGTAACAGTAGAACGGAAGATGAGATCACGAACCGTATAGCAAAATCTCGATGCGATTTTACTATATCCGCCATCAGTGTCTCCGGCGTGACATTACTCTCGCTCTGAAGGACAGAGTTTACAATGCAGCCGTCCTTCCAACCCCACTGTACGGTTGCGAAACTTGGCCCATCAAGTCGACAGACATAAAGAAGCTAGTTATGTTCGATCATCGCTGCCCTCCCTGCTTAACTCATGTTTGGTGGGAGCACCGCATGAGCAGTGAGCGTGTTCGGTGTCGCGTATTTGGTGCAGGAAGAGTGAATGAACCGCTCAGCTCCGTTATCTCACGCATCAGGCTCCGATGGCTGGGCCACGTGTTGCGCATGCCAGTCCACCGACTCCTGAAACGTGCGTTTGCACGTCTAGTGTGGATAAAAGGAGAGGGAAGGCCAAGCGATGACTTGGTTGAAAGGAGTGAAGTCCCTCACTTCGTTTTTGTTGTCAGTCTCTTTGTCCATTTCCCCCCTTTTGCTTCCCTCTCCAATGACTATCAAAAATATGATATCAACACTATGTTACTTTTTGATAGCTCTTAAGTCTACACTGCTTAATGTCCTGCTTTTTTTGTATCGCGGCACATGTCGACCCGTAGCCTAGAGGTAACGAGCTTGTCTCGTAATCTTGCGGCGCTGATTCGAATCCGCGTAGTGGTGAGCGTCCTCGCGGTATACTCAGCGCGCGTGCGACTGGTGGTGGTCGCACGATAGCGAAGCGCCGTTGCGACGTACAACTGACACACTATTGCGGCACATTAACTGAGGTATTTCTCACCCTCGTCGAACGTGTATTGATGCTGATGATGATGACTTCATTTGATCCACACCTGCCTCAGCTGTGGCCGTATTGAGCTTCATTCATGCTAGGTCTCACTGATTCCAAATTGCCCATCCGACACGCGCCGCATTCAACTCGGTTGATCGACCTATGCTATAATGTTGCATGCACACTCTACCTCCACGTCTCCGACAAGGTGAGGGTATATGTCGAGCTTACTTCGTCCTTCGCTACCAATAGCAGTGTACGACAGGACTGCCCTATGCCCCGTTCCTCTTAAATTTTGCGATCGATGACATCCTGTCGAGAGCTCTGGAGTGTTACCAGCATTTTGGTTTGCAACTGCTGCCGGGTAAACGAGCAACCGACTTAGATTACGTTGATGACATCGATTTACTTGGCAACGACTCGCAGAATATGCAAACCAATTTAAACCGTTTCGCGATTGAGGCATCTAAATACGGAATTTGCTCCGCCCCGTCGAAATATGAAGCATTGCTTCAGGATTGGTACTCTCCCGTTCCCGTGCTCACTCTTGAATGCACACAGCTTGAACATGTTGACGGCTTTGTATACCTGAGCAGCTGCGTCTGCTGGTAACGCTATGAGCAAACGAATTTCTCTACGTATAGCTAAAGTCCGATCTGCTTTTGTCAACTTGCAACACTTGTGGTGTCGTCCGGACGTCTCCCTCTTGGTTAACCCTGAGTCCTGAATTAATTTACCCATAGCTTTTGCGTTATTTTTATGTTATAAGGTAGATTTTGGTTAGTAATAAGCATGAAAATAAAGAAATTATATTTTTGTAAACACATTCCTGCTTAACGTTGTGCTTATAAGTACTGACAGGAACGTAGAGCATCAATATTGTCACCATGAAGGTGCATTACTGAAAATGATATTTTTGAAAGCAGTTCTTTTTGTCGTTGTAACACAAAAAACATCACATAGGAACATTTTTCATGTGGTCTAGATTGGATTTTTCGAATAAGACACATTTCACATCTCCTTTTTGTAACGAATATTGTTCAGTGAGCGCCAAGATTCTGTATCCTGACATCTTTAGGCAGAGAACACTTGTTTATCCTCCGTCTCTTTGGTTCGTTTGGTGATGACATCGTATTAAGTGAGGTTTGGCCACTTTTTCACTGATCTGCTTCCCATAGCATCAAGCCCCTTCGCCAAGTCTCTTCGAAACTCCGACAAAGATATGTTATGATGTATGTCCTTATGCATTACATGTGCATTGACATACGCCATGTCTATCATGACGAAAAACACTGTGCCACCATTTTTTATTTCCTATCATAGGGAGCGCACCATACCTGCTTTGTCCACTCCGCCCATGCCTGAATTGTAAACTTGTGCTATCTTAGATGCCAGAACGTTGGCCATTGTTCCAACCCGCTAGTCATGTATCAGAGAAATTGATTCACTTTCATGGTAATTGGACAACAGATGAACACACTTGTTGTCTTTCCACTTGAAGAACACAACTTGATCTGTAGAACGATAATCAAAATCACCTCTCTTCGTCTCCTTGTCCTCTTGAAGTTTAGGAAGATGTTTCCTATTGGGACGGACAGTTCCACAGCCAAAATGTTGTTCACCCTCAGATGCTCAAATAGTTACACAATGTGAAATAATTATCCATTACTACAACATAACCATTTGCTTTCAGATTTCGGGTGGGTTTGTCCACAACACTTCCCCCATCCGTCGTTAAAATTTGGAGTGTCCTGTGATTTGACTTGATACACTTCAAACCGATAAATATAACCACCCATATCGCCTCGACACCACTACTATCTACAAAATAAAGTTTTCACTAAATCTTATCAAACATATGCAATACTAAAAATGAAGATAATAATGACTGCTAAATAAATTACTTACTGTTACAAGAAGAAATTGTTCAAATCTCTAAATTTTGCGCCCCATCCCATCGTTATGCCCATTAAAGGCTCTAACTGTTAATATTACGCTTGAGGCCTGGCGGTACTTTCTGGTACCAATACCATACGTATAATACGGATTGCGCTTAAAACTGTAAATACACTAAATCATGGCACGTCCACTACAAAAACGAATAAATATTTATAGGACTGGCAAGCTGCAATAAAATCGACTAAATTTTAACAAATAGGGCAACCACTCACGGTATTCTGAAACCAATTTCCAATCACGCTTGACACGTAGCCTAGAGGTAACGAGCTTGTCTCGTAATCTTGTGGCATGGGTTCGAATCCGTGTAGGGGTAGATGTCCTCGCGGTATACTCAGCCCGCGTGCGACTGGCGG